CTTTTTTAATTCTTTCAATCGAAATAATTTTTTTTTTTTAGTAGATTTTTGTATTGAAAAAAAGAAACTTTTTGAATATGTTAATAAAAGGAGGTAATCAATACTGAACTGAATTGAATCATTCGGTTCTATGACTTCTGCATCGTTTGATACATGGTCTAGAGAGCACATTAGCATATTAGTGTTTGAAATTCTCATCAATAGGAGAGAACGAGCGAGACTGAGAGAAATAGGGAGAGTGAGAGATTTCTTGTTTTATTTAGGTTTAATGTCCCCCCTGATTTATTTCGTTTCTTTTTCTTGTTTTCATCTTACTTGAGCGGTACATGTATGAATATTCTGGTATGATATCGGAATTTACCAGACCTTCAATGAACCAAGAGGCATCCACACGATTAAGCTCACAAAGTTGTCCGCTTCATTGGTTACGAATAGAGAACCTGTTTCGTCCTGGGTGCTCGCGAGCCCTTCTCAAAACCATAAAATATCGTAAATTCGATGTAAGCTTTTTGAGTCAAAAGTTTAAATTGTTCCGGGGGAAAGTAGAGGAAATCCTATACAATCGAAAATCGTACAATTTTCCACACCAACCTTCCTGTAATTTCTTGTCAAATTAAACATTTATTTTACATTATTTAGAAATAGAAATAAAATGAGGAAAAATATAAAATAATAATAAAATAATAAAATAAATATAATAGAATAAAAGTGACAGATCAAACAGAATTTTTAACAACAAGTTTATAGCAGAAATTCAAATGCTTTCTCTTCAGTGTAATATTAAATATAAAAAGAATCTAAAAGTGGAAAATTAAAAATATTCTTTATTAAAAAAAATTACAAAAATAAAATTAAAAAAAAACACGCACTGTAATTATAAAAATCATCACAAAAGGAATAAAGCTAAAATATTTTAGCTTTATTCTCGTTTAAATTTTCTTTTTTACATTTTTGGTTATAAAAAAAGAGAGTGAAAAAAACATTATACGAATTTCACTACCCTTTTCATTTGTTCACTCTAACCGTCGGTCATTTAAAATATTTGAAATGTGCAAGACATTTTTTTCCCAACTACTAATTAAAACTTTTTAATTAAAAGCTCGAATGCTTGACAATTCTGATATTTATTTATCTTCTTTTATTTTTTCCCCTTTTAATGCGAAAAGAGGGGAAAACAACTTGATAAAAATATTTTAATATCTGTAAATTACCTTCAATAAAAATCAATCGTGACTAAACTATATATTTAAGTACTTGGGAAATTGAAAAGAGAGTTTAAAAGCTTTTTTTTTTTAATTAATTGAAAAAAAGATGTGTGTTTTCTATTTAACGTTGAGATCACACACAACAACTTTTAGAAAATTTCAATTTTCAATTTAATTTAATTAGAAATTTTAAAGACGGATTTTTGAAAAATTTTTTAAATTTAAATTCTTTTGGAATAATTTCAATTTTTTAATATATATTTAATTAATTATTAAAAATAATCGATTTATAGAAGAATTTTAGTTAGAAACACTAAAAAATTGAATTTTGGAGAAGTTACAAATTATTGCAGAAATTCAATTATTTTCAAAAGTAATAAAATTCTTCGCAGAAATTCAATTATGATAACATTTTTTAGAAAATTCACGCCCAAATTTCAATTTACAATTATCTTTATAAACAATAAAATTCATATTCAAAATTCAATAATTTTCAAAAATTTTAATAAAATTCTTGTCAAAATTTCAATTATTTTCAAAAATTTTCCTCGATTGAATGATTTTCAATATCTACTATTTTAATAAAAATTTTTCAAGAGAATTCAATTATTTAAATAAAAATCTAATACAATTCTAAGCAAAGATTTAATTATTTTTGTAATTAAGAAAAATCACTCAGGAATTCAATTATTTACAAATTTTTAATATATTTCTTCTTAATAATTCAATTATTTTTATAAATAATAAAACTGTTCTCAGGAATTTAATTATTTTTATAAATAATAAAAGTCATCGTAGAATTTCAATTATTTTTATACAATTCTAATTGAATTCGTCGAAAAATGTAATTATTCTTAAAAATTTTATTAAAATTCGACAAAAAATTTATTTAACAATTTGTTGATAAAATTCTTTATGAAACATTCAATTCTTTAATAAATTATATTTAATTTTGTACTTAAATAGTTGAATTCTTGTATAATTTTTTAATAAAATTTTATTTAATAATTAATTTCAGTTAAAATATATATTTTTGTTTCTTAACTTTTTTAATAATTTATCTTTTTAAATATTTTTAACTTTAAAATTAATAATATTGAAAATCATTGAATTCTCTCAAAGAATTTTATTAAAAAATCTGAGAATAATTTAATATTCCTTGTAATTTAATTGACATTAAACATTTAATTGACATTAAACATTTAATTATTGAATTTTATTGAAATTTTTAGAAAATAATTAAAATCTTTTGTAGAATTTTTTTTAAGTTTTTTTGAAAATAATGTAGTTTTTTGAATGATTTTAATTGAAAATTTTGAAAATAATTGAATTAAACAAAGAATTTTTTCAACTTTTTAAAATAATCGTGTCTGTTAATAATTATAATAAAATATATTTGATTATTGTAGTTTAATAAAATTGTATTGAAAATAATTGAATTGCTGAGAAGAATTTTATTATTTATAAAAAATTATTTAATTCTTGCCATGATTTTACTATTTATAATAATAATTGAATTGTTTTGAAAGGATTTATTAACTGTTTAGAAAAAAATTGGGTTCTTTCGAAAAATTTTATTAAAAATTAAAAAAATATTTGAATTGTTTCGAAGGATTTATTTAAATTTTAGCAAATAATTGAATTTTTTCGAAAAATTTTTAAAAAATTGAATTCTTTCATAAAATAATTTTGAAGAAGTTACAGTAACAGTATTCTTATAATATAAAATAATGATTTTATCACTCGGTCATCTTTAATTATTATAATGCATGTTTTTAATCATTCTTATAAGTTGTTGAATTTCAAAAAGGTTTGAATTTTTTAATGTTTGAAAATTATTGAAAATCTTAATTGATTAGGAAAAATAATAATGATTAAATAATATTTATTAAAAAAAAAGTTATTGATGGTTTCGAATAATTTTACAATTGAAGAAATTCGTAAATAAACGTAGTAGAACATTTTTTTTGAGCATTTAATCATTTTTAGAGTAAATCAGAATCGATAAAATTCTCCTGTTATCCTTGATTGATAAATCAAAATGACTTGTTTAACTTTATAGATGTGAATTTTTTTTACACGCTACAATTTAATTAGTTGTCATTTATCAATTCATAAATCTTTGTTAAAAGAAGAGAGAGCAAAAAAAAAAAAAAAAAAATCTGTTAAGAATTGTCCTTTCAGCGGGAGTCTTCACAAATCACAATTATCTATGGGAGATGCAATAGTCCCCGAAACTGTTTTCACGAAAGCTCACAATAGACAGTTGGGGGATGAAAAGCACAAAGCACTATTTAATTTGTTTCGAAGGGTGTTGGAGGCTCGATCCCCATTAAGGCCTGAATGGTTCGCCCGATTTATGCGAGGTGAGATTATCTGCAAGATAAAATGGGCGGTAGATAACCGCACGAGAATGCGATGCAAAGGGAGTTAGTTCTACCAGAGACACTTTCAAATTTATCACCTATCGACCTACTTAGTTCTCACTGGGCGGTTTGTTGGTGGGTGGTTTAAAAGAAAAACAAGAATAAATGTGTGTGTGTATATATATCTTACGGGAAGAAGACGAAACTTTTGTAATTGCTCAGAAAACCCCCTTTGAAAAGCGTTCTACTTGCAGGGTTTGTGTCTATATACACTCGTCTCGGTGTTAAAAGTAACTATATATATGTATATAAACCCTTGGAAGTAAACGACCGTTGGTTTCTGTATTGTTCAAAATTAAACGAATAGGCGTGTCCAGGAGCTAGTTCTCTCGTTACTCCTGTATAAACCTAATGAGAGATTAAGGCACACTGTACCAAGTTTCAATGGTCAATTTTCGCCGCAATTAATGCCACTTGTAACACCGCTTTAATTAATGAAGAATGTGCTCTCCACGTACATCAATATATATGTATATATGGAGTGCGCAAATTAAAGGACATGGTTGCAAGTGAATTTTAATATTTTTAATGATTCCGCATTTACATTTGTACCCGACAAAGATATTTAAAAGCCATATTGGAAATTTAGAATTGTTTGGAAATTGTTGCACGACTATTTATTTTTTTTATTTCTATAAACTTTATTATTTTTTGGTGAAATTCACAACTATAATGAACAATTTAAGACAAAATCCTATTTTTTCTGTATGAACTCCTTCATTGTCACTGACCTCTATAGCGGCATCGAAAAAGCGTTTAAAAATTAGGAAATTTGACTAAAAATTTCGAAAAAATTAATTATTTAATCAAATTTTTATACAATTCTTCACAATAATTCAATTATTTTCACTAATAACAACATTTTAAAATAAAATTTTCATAATATTTATATTTCGAAAAAATTAATTATTTAAATCAATTTTTATGAAAAATTCTTATAAAGAATTCAATATTTTTCTGAAATAATAAAATTATTCACAAGAATTCAATTATTTTCATAAATAATAAAATTCTTGTCAGGAATTCAATTATTTTTGAAAATTTTAATAAAAATCTTAGCAACTATTTAATTTTCATAAATCATAAAATTCATTGTGGGATTTCAATTATTTTTAATTCAATTTTACAGGTATTGCTCAAAAAATGTAATTCTTCTTAGAAATTTAATTTCAATTCCTCGAAAAAATCAATTATTTCAAAGAATTTTTTTTTTAAATTCTTTGATAAAATTCAATTATTTACAAAATTATTTGAATTTTTTACAGGAATTCAATTATTTTCAAATAACATAACCTAAAATTTGTTAAACTGTATTAAATTTATAAGAGTCAAATTTAAATTAAACTAACAATTTAATTTTCATTTTCAGTATCAATGACGAATTAAGACTGTACTAATACGATGGCCCAGAATTGTTTAACATTACTTCAAGGGAATAAGAATATTTGAAATCCATGTGATCTTTGGCTAAAATAAAAAACTGTAAAAAATAGAATTTAAAGGAGAATTTGAGGAGGATATTAAACGAAAAAAAACATACAATGGGGTGAGTTTTTAAAAAAATTATGATATTTGATATTTTTTATTAAAATTAAAAATTAAATTAAAACATTGGTATAAAGTTTATTTTTTTCTGTTAATTTGAAAATTTTTTTTTCATTTTTTCCAAAGTAAATAAACTCTGAAACAAATTTCACCTTAAATGAGGTTTGGAAATTCAGGGAAAAGTGAGAGAATTTTATTAAAAGTACTATATAAATTAAATAAGAATATAATATAGTAAAAATAAAATATAATACCTATAAAAAATATAATTTAATATGGAAGAGTTTCGAATAATTTTACAATTAAAGATATTTACAAATAAAAGTATTAGAAATATTTTTTTTTCGTATCTAATTGTTTTTAGAGTGAATAAAAATATTTTTTAGGGTCAAAATTCAAGATTAAATACTGAAAATAAAACTGGAAAGTCGTTTTCAAAAATTAATATTTTTTTAAGTGATCTTTATTTCGGAATTTTATCAAATTTCAGAAAATAAAAAGAAAAAAAAGTTTAAACTACATTTTGCATAAGTAAAGTTTTTTAATCATTGCGAAAAAGGGGTTATTCACGATTGTAGAGCAAAATTTTTGAAATTTACACCTGTCCATATTTTTTACCTGTTAAAAAAGCAAACTGGTTGAAAGTTTAGGATTAAATGAAAAAGTTAGTTTCAGTTTTTTTTTTTTTTTTTTTTGCTCTAAATTAAAACGAATCCTTTTGAAAATTTGTTCTAATTCTTATTTTGAAAAAACAGGCAATTTTATAACGACAAAAAATTTCTATTTTTTTCTCGCTTTTATATATTTTTAATGCTCCGTTTTAATTGACTTTATTACTTCAATATATAAATAAAGATAAAAAGACAAACGAACGGGAAATATAATTCTTGAATAAATGAAAATTGCTTCCATTTCTCTTTGCTTTCGATTCTAGTAAGGTAGTGAAGTGGAATTGACAGACGTTCCATTTGTAGATATTAGATCTGGTTTTTCAATTTCCTTAAGAATTTACAATCCATTTCTTATTTTTGTTATTAATTGAGTTCAAATCATAACATGAAAAATTTTAAACTTTACTAAAATTATTCTATATATTCATAAATGTAACTTATTTTTATTTTTTTTTAAAATATTTTAACTGTTTAAAATTATTTAATATCTGGGTGGAATTCATAATGTGCTTTTTTCAAATATATAGAATTTGAGAAAATACATATTCAATTTAAAATTCATTTATTTCGGTATGTCTGGAAATAAATTATTTTGTAGTATTTATTTACTATTTTATGCGAATATTCTTTTGTTTATTTAATTATTCAAATTGATACAGCATGAGAAAAGCATAAATTTAAACTTCTTACAATACTGAAATATTTAAATCAAAATTCGAATGAATTATTTCGTGTACCTTTATTTTTTCTATATTTAACATCTCTTCAGTAGTATTAAATCTGTTAGGTCAGACGTAACCTTTCTGTAGCCTCTATTTTCGTATGAAAAGAGATTATAAAATTAATACTATACTAAGTGAAGAGAATAAAAATATAGAATGAAAAAAATTAGTAATAAAATTAAAAGAATATGGTATAGAATTATATATTTTTATTTCTGGTCTTGAATAAAGATGTCGACTTTTTCATTTCTTGTTAATTACTTTAAAATGAAGCTTCTTTTATAAATAGACTGAAAGATAAAATATCAGATAAAACGGAAATGAAAGTGATGATAAGTTGTCGGGACTTCGAACCCAAACTCTTCTTTCTAGACAGGGTGGCTACCATTCTAGATTTCAGCGGGAGATAAAAAATTAGGACCACAGTATAAAGATAGTGTGTTTTTTGATAGAGAACAAATTCTTCTTGGTGTGTGTTTTTCCTATAAATTTCGTTTTTTCTTTATCGGTAGTAGATAAATCTTATTTGACGATTTTTAAATTGGATTTTAAACAGATTGTTTGGAGTAGGAAGTAGACTATTTTTCGTCTTTGTTTTCTGTAATCAGGGTTGCCACAAGTCAGGGAATTCAGGGAAAAGTCAAGGATTTTTAATAAAAGTACTGGAAAAATTAAATTTTTAGAATTTATGAGAACATTCTGAATTTTTGTGTATTTTGTTTAATAAAATTCTTGGCAAAATTTCAAAAATTTTCCTCATTTCAATTATTTTTAATAACTACTATTTTAATAAAATTTTACAAAAGAATTCTATTATTTAAACAAAATTTTAATAAAAATTTCACAGGAATTCAAATACATACCAATTTTTTTATATATTTCTTCGCACCAATTCCATAATTTTTAATTTTTTAATGAAGTTTCTCCAAAGAATTCAAATAAATTCAGAAAATTGAAAAAAATTGAAAATAGTTCTGAAAAATTCAATTATTTTGAAAAATTTAAATAAAATTCTTCTAAAAATTCTATCATTTAAAAAAATGTTGCCAAAATTCTTTACAAAATTTAGATAATAAACTTGCAATTTTAATAAAATTTTCCTATACAATTCAATTATTTTCAATACAATTCTTCTTAAGAATTCAATTATTTTCATAAATAATACATTTTTTTATGGGAATTCAATTATTTAAAAAAAATTTGAATAAAATTCTTCGCTAGAAATCAAATATTTTTATGAATAATAAAATTTTTCTTGAGAATTCAATTATTTAAAAAAATTTTGATAAAATACTTTATAAATTTAAAAAATTATAATAAAATTGGTCGTTGAATAAAATTATTTTCGTAGAATATAACATTCTTTCTAGAAATACAATTATTGTCAAAAATGTTTGTAAGAATCTTCGAAATAATTCAATTATTTTCGTAAAAAATAAAATTTTCTTCAAAGCAATTCAATTATTTAAGAAATTTTAATAAAATTCTTCTCAAGAATTCAATTATTTTCACAAATAATACATTTTTTATGGGAATTAAATTATTAATCAATTATTTTTTGCAAATAATAAAATTTTTCTTCAGAATTCAATTATTTAAAAAACTGTTGATAAAATGATTTATAAATTTCAAAAATTATAATAAAATTGGTCGTAGAATATAATTATATTCGTAAAATATAGCATTCTTTCTAGGAATACAATTATTTTCAAAAAGTTTGTAAGAATCTTGGAAAGAAATCAATTATTTTCGTAAAAAATAAAATTCTTTAAAAGAAATTCAATTATTTAAGTAGGTAATTTTAATAAAATTCTTCCTAATTAATAATTCAATTATTTTCAAAAATAAACATTTTCACAGGAATTCAATTATTTATAAAAAAGAATTTTTTAAAATTCTTTGGCAGATTTCAATTATTTTGGAAGTTATTATTTTTTTAATGAAATTTCTCGATAGAATTTAATTATTTTTAAAAAGTTTTGAAAAATTCTGAGAAATTCAATTATTTAAAAAAATTTGAATAAAATTCTTCCCAAGAAATTAATTATTTTGAATAATAAAATAACATAATAATAATAATTATAATAATAATAATAATAATAATAATAATAATAATAATAATAATAATAATAATAATATTTTTCTCCGGAATTCAATTATTTTTACAAATAAAATTCTTTAGAAATTTTTTTAATAAAATTCGTTGCAAGAATTCAATTATTTTCATAAATAACAAAACTTATCGCAGAATTTCAATTATTTTTTATAAAATTTTAAATATTATTATGATAGAAAATTGCATTTATTCTTACAATTTTTTTAAAATTCACCGAAAGAATTGAATTATTTTTAAAACTTTTGATAAAATTCTTCATAAAAATTCAATTCTAAGAAATATTCAATTATTAAATAAATTATTTATTCTTGCATGTAAATAATTGAATTCTCGAAAAGTTTTCTAATAAAAATTTATTAAACATTGAATTTTAGGTAAAATTTTAGATAATAATTAAATATTAGAAGAGTTATTGTGCGAATTTTTAGAAATAATTGAATTTTGAAATGGGTTCAAATTAAAATCTTTGAAAATTTGAATTTATAGCTACAATATTCGTATATCGATTTCCTCATGTTTTTATTTCGTCTGGAAATCAGGAAAAAGTCAGGGAATAACAAAATTAAAGTTTTGTTGCAACCCTGGTAATACAAGATGCAACATTACTTTTAAAAAAAGATTCGTTAGGGTCAGGGGGAAAGTAAAAATTGTGTAAAAATTGTCTAGAAAATAGAAATTGTGTTAGGGAAAAGTGAGGCAAAAAAGAAAATTTAAATTTTTGTGGCAACCCTGATGATGAATCCGATTACTTTGATTATAATAGAAACCTGATTTTTAAGGATCAAATGAACCTGACTTTGCTACTTTTCACACCCTCATTTTGACGACATATTGTGTGCTAGTGATGACATGAGGTTGAAGAAAAATGAACGGAGAAAAAAGATTCAATCCCCTTTGGTCCTTGTACCCCCTATAGGTATTTACAACACGTGAATGACGTATAGAAAATAACCCAACACTGTCAAAATAAAGAAGAACATCGACTTTCTCCTTATTGTCATTTTCATTTTATTCTCTGTCGGATAAATACAGTTTCGTGTTACCAAAAGCCCATAGTAACTACCTTCCCCTTATTCGCTCATGGGGAGCCACGTATCACCTTTATACCTCTATGCTTGCGAGTTATTTATTTTTATGGAGTATCGCTGCTCTCCCTCTTTGTTTCTCTTTTTTACTATCATCTCCCATTTCTTCATCTCTTTTTACCTTTTCCATCCTTCTTCTGCTCCATCTATCCTCCCTTTTTTCCATCCTTCTTCTCACTACCCTATTACTTTTCTCTGTCCTTTTCCCTTTTACTTCCTTTCTCTCTCTGTTTCCTTCTCGCATTTTATCTTGCTTTCCCTCTCGCTTAACGTCGTCCAGAACCGAACCTTGACTCGGAGCAGAGAGAAACCCTGTGCCCGCTTAATGGCGTTACGGGGTTACCATGGTAACCCAAACCCCATAGAATCACCTCACCCAGCGGAAAGCCCATTTATCCTGGAAAAAC